ATGAAACTCATGTTCAAATCCAAATAGATAATACAACAGCGGTGTCATATATTAACAACATGGGAGGATCCAAATCCCCTGTACTAAACACCCTTGCAATTGAGTTGTGGGAGTGGTGTATCCACCGGAATATCTGGGTCTCTGCGGTACACATCGCGGGGAAGTTGAATGTCGATGCAGATTTTAAATCCCGCTCTTTTTCAGACAAGCATGAGCGGATGTTGAACAGGAGTGTGTTCACAGAAATTCTAACAGAGTTCCCAGAGCTTAACATTGATTTATTTGCATCTAGACTAACGACACAACTTACACAATACTGCTCCTGGCAACCAGACCCAAGCAGTGCCTTTGTGGATGCATTCTCCATTGATTGGAGTAGATTTAATTTCTATGCATTTCCACCTTTCAGTTTAATCCCACGATGCCTACAGAAAATTCAACAGGACAAAGGGAAAGGCATATTGATCGTACCAGTGTGGCCAACACAAACATGGTTCCCCCTGGTTCTACAGTTACTTTACAGCCAACCCTGGATCTGCCAACCATCTCCCAAACTACTTCAGCACACATCACACAACAGACTGCACCCATTACACCAGAAACTCCACTTAATGGTATGTCCGCTATCCGGAACTCTTTCAGACAATACAACGTTTCTAAAGAAGTCATCGAAGTCCTCATGGCTTCATGGAGGCCGGGCACCAAGAAACAATATTCAACGTACCTCAATAAATGGCTGGAGTTTTGTAGTAAGAGGACAATTGATTACAGTTCACCAAAGATAAGCGAGGCTGTGGAGTTCTTGATGACATTACATAGCCAGGGATTGAGTTACTCCAGCATTAATACAGCACGATCAGCATTATCATCTATTCTAAAACTTGATAACTGTGATAACTTTGGAACTCACCCACTGGTCACACGTTTTATGAAAGGTATTTACGAGTTAATCAAACCAAAGCCAAAGTACAATCAAATATGGGATGTCTCACAAGTCCTGGATTACCTTAAAACATTGTATCCGTTAGAGAAGCTATCTCTGAAGGAACTCACACAAAAAACAGTCATGTTACTTTTGTTAGTAACTGGCCAACGAGGGCAATTCATCCACCTACTGTCATTAAATGGAATACAATTGACATCCCAGACTGCCTATCTGTCACTAGAGGAACACACTAAGACAAGCAGACCCAACAACGCAGCAGCTGCCGTAACGATTACTGAATTTACTCCTGACAGTAGAATATGTCCGCTCACGACTCTGAAAGCTTATATGAAGGAGACAGAAACACTACGGAATGGAGAAAACAAACTGTTCATAAGTTTCATAAAACCTAACAAGGCTGTGTCAAGAGACACGATTTCCAGGTGGACAAAGCAGGTTTTAGCAAACTCTGGTATAGACACAAAAATGTTTACTTCACACAGTACAAGAGCTGCCTCAGCAACAAAGGCCCATCAAAAAGAAGTCCCTCTAGATACCATTCTGAACACAATTGGTTGGGAATCAGCAAAAACATTCCAGAAATATTATCACAAACCAGTGCTAGGCTCAAGAGGAGCAACACTAGCAGAAGCAGTTTTGTCTTAGATTCACTTATCTTTCCTCTTATACTTAAAAATGTTATTGTTCTTAGGTCAAGATGTAATGACACTATACACTTTGCAGCATGAGTGAACTTTTTGATTGATATATTGATATACTTTATTGATATGATATCCATTACATGAATTAGCTAACAAATTTTTTATTGGTTGAACATCAATAGCATTCATATTAAAATATATTTACAATTGGTATGCAATTGTTTTATGTGACATATTTACATGGCTGTGTCAGAGCTTGAAGTCTCATGGGCTCTCCATGCCTCCGGTCATGTGATAGAATTGAAAAATTAAACGAGACTTACCTGTAAGTTGAAGTTTGATTGAGATTCTATCACATGACCAAGGAGGCAGGAGATCACATGCCCACCCTGTCAGCTATGAGATCCCATCCCTGTTATCATTATGTGTAATATGGGAATCTGGATTATATCTGACACAACCACTGGCTTTAAAACAATGACTTGACGCATGCGCTGTGCTATCTCATGTGATCTCCTGCCTCCTTGGTCATGTGATAGAATCTCAATCAAACTTCAACTTACAGGTAAGTCTCGTTTAATTTTCCAAGTTTATATTATGTAAGTATGTAGTATTTAACTTAGCAAGTTATATGTAAGTGGGTATTAAAGCTTTATGTAAGTAAGTAAGTACTATGTAAGTAAGTCAGCATTATGTTTGTAAAAACAATAAAAATTTAAAAAAAAAAAAAAATATGAAATCGGTCTGCCGGTAGACTGGAATGGGTAGCGCACGCGTAATGTTTGCGATTTTGAATCAGTATTTTATCAAGATGAAGTGTACCTTCAAATAACGAGATATGAAATGACTCATTCATAATGTAAACCCGATACAAAATCAAAAAGTCATCCCGGTATGAGACTCGCGCCGGAGTGAGTTTTCTCATGTAAACACCCCCTTACTGTACATGTACTTGTGCCTTTAGTGCGCGATTAAGTGTACTATCACTGGCCTACAAATAATCTGTGTAGTTTACTCAAATAATACTTGCTTTCTATTTATTCAGCAGATCAGCCTGGAATGGGATGTTGGTGACAGAAAGTCCTCTCAAAGCAAACAAGATTAATACATGTTAATTACAAGCCTTAGTCTTGTAAAGTGGTTCCAGGGCTGTCACTAAGGGCCATAAACCAGACTTTAAATCGGCTACTTTGAGCCCAATACTTGGCTGTTTTGAGAGGAAACGAAACTTTCCACATTTTCAATGTCCCGCTCACTAATTTCACTTAAACCCTGCAACTTGTGTAATCTTAGTGACAGCCTTGTGCATCTAACTTTTACATCATCAGTTTATGAAAATGATTTGTTATTTGGATTTTGTTGTTAAATTTGACTGTCAACACTTCTGGGAGTGAAAGGGCTAAATCAAGAAACCATCAATGTTATACATGTATTAGGCTTTCAGTCTTTTTATTTCTTATCTAAAATTGTTTAAGCTTTTAATTTGAATTATGCTAAATTATACTAAATATTTTCATTTTGGAAGAGACCATTTTGACCCACCTTTACATTAATTTGTGTGTTAGAGTTGCTGTTTTTTATCAAAATTTAACTTCATCAGTTTTCTTGTACACCCTGTACCTTACATGTAAATGCTAATAATTATTTTAAACTATAAATCATCTTAATTTGGTATAATACTAAGTTAAGATGATTTTTTTGGATATTTTGAGAAGACTGTTTTGACCCATTTGAAAAGTTTATGTACACTGTATCTTCTTATTTAAACCTTACGTGTTGGAAAAATTTTCGTTTTTTTTAATTTTTAATGTAATGACAAAGATGCTAACACAAATAAATCATGTTATATTTAGAAAATTCAGTTTTAGAGTATCAGTGTGTTTTGTTTTTTAAAACCTTGTAATATCACTCTTTGCGGGACTAAACTTAAAGAATGCGATTCGTATTTGCAGCTTTTGCAGTTACAACAATGTAGCATACCTGGCGATTTTCATGGGATTTGAAATGTAAAAATAAAGATAGGCAATTTGAAAATTGATTATGGTAATGCAAAATTGGAAACGGAAAGGGGCCCTATTTTTTAAACTACTACTTATTCAAAGTTCATCTACTGGTTAAACAATATAACTCCATTAAAGCAAGTTATAACTTAATAGTAGGGATGACTAATGTCAGTTTGAAGTTGGGTTCTTATTTTTCTATAGGTCTATTGGGTTTTCAACGCTTTATAACTTTTCGTTTTTGTTGTCAGTTTTGAAGAATAAAAACAAAATTTCTGGCCTAATCCTTTAACTGTGTGTTGAAGTGTTGTTACATATCAGGGTATTTTATTTTATGTCGAAACTTGAATTGAGGATTACTCATACAGTTATTTGTAATGTATATGTGAGTAATCCTCCATGGCTCCAGATTGTAAATACTATGGAGAGATGATGGGGAACCAAAGAAAACAACCGGTATTAAGTACACAACAAAAATTCAATGTTTGTGTGACATGGACAAAAATAAAATCTTGATTGTTAAAAGTTTGGTAAGAAAAATTTACCGATTACCATTATATTTACCGGTATTTTTAAAGTTTCCACTGTGTTTATGTGTATACATATATGGCGTAAAGGAGCTTGTATTTGCGCTTTACACAAGCTTAAAGTAGGGTTTACACAAACTTTACGCAAAACGTAAAGGTGTTGCGTAAAGTTTTTGTTTCATTACGCCAGCTTTATATGTACGCGTAAAGGTGCTGTAAAGCTGAACTTTACGTAGAGTAAAGGAAGCGTAAAGCTGTGTAAAATTCAACTATACGCTGACTTTACGTTGTCATTACGCTCACGTAAATTTGATTTTTCATGCTGTGCCGGACGATTGGGAGGCGCGATCAGTTTGGATGGAGCTGAGGTTTCGTGTAATCCTCCTTGTCTCCATCGTCGCAAACGTCCAAAGACAATTATTCTAGGGGGGTACTCAGGACTTCAAGTGACAGGGATGATCGAAAGATTTTTTGGGGTTTGAAACGTTCGATTCCTGAATTTTTTGGGGTATGAAAATTTCACAAGTATTTTTGTTTGGGTAGCTTGATGGGATTTTTTTGGGTATTCAAAACAATCTGAAGATTCGTAGTTCTATTACATGATGTTGTTATTTTTCGTGTTATATCATTAATTTAACCCTTTCTGGAAATTTTAAAGGCTCGGAAATTCGGCACTGGAATTTTTGGGGGGATTAATTTTTTGTTGGAAGCCCTAAGGATTTTTTTCAAGGTTTGATTTTTGCCCCTATTCGATCATCCCCGTCACCTGAAATTCGGAGTACCTAACTGGTACAATTATACGGAAATCAGGTTTTAGGGCTGTATCTGATAACGTCTATAATGGTGTGTACACTGTTTCAACTGGAGGTAAGCACACATGAAAAAGTTAGAAATCAGAAAATGGTGCGTAAATAAGTTTTCCGGGTCTATGCCTATAGGACAGCTTGAAATAATTATCAATTCTTTGCCCTTGGAAAAGACTAGAGTGATTCTGGTCAGCCGATTTCATACGATGACGGTGAACAATCTGAAGGATTTTGCAAGGATTCTTAAATTTAAACCCTTCATATGCTTTTAGGTAAAACATTAAAACCTGCTCAATCCCATAAAGGTTTCCTCTATAGTCAATCTTGTTTAGTACTTCACTGCTGACTGGTTTAAGTAGCCTAAACAGAAGAGCGTCATGAGAACCTACGTAACGTGATTTCGGATCACACGTACCCTCGTTTGCTTCGTGAGGGCAGAGAGAACCGTTTCTTTGCGTCGAATGCCTTGTTAAAAAATACATTGTTTTATTGCTTAAAATTGTCTCATCCAGATGCTCGAATCCTTGGTGAACATAGATGTCTGCATGAAGGATCATTACGTTTTTGTGAAGTAGATGACTCGAGGCAAAGCCTATTGCATCTTTGTATGTCCAAAACCTACCAAGGCCGAAGGGATGGAAGACAAGTTTGCTGTCACCAACCAAGTTCAGAGCCTTAACGAAAGTGTAGTCCTGATCATGCTCAAGGAAGATGTTAACTTTATGGACCTGGAAAAGAAACATGTTTGATGTAAAATCAAATCAGTTTGAAACTTGAGTTTTTTACATTTATGACTTGCGTGATCCTACGAGAGAACAATAGGACAAACATTGCCTCTACCTATTAGCACAAAAGCAACAACTACTATAAGAGCAAGGAAAATCACAGTCGTAGAGGACCTGTTTCAAATAAAACAAAGGCATTCTCTACGCTAAAGCAGTTTCGAAAGACGTCTTCGTGTTAACAAAAGCGCGTGGGAAGCTTTGAGTTCTTACTAGGGACTTTAAGATCCAGCCGCGCGACGGCAACGAGGGACGTAGCCAACAAAAAGTGAATTTGCGTTCATTCAGTCTTTATCGCGATTATTCTTACCCACTTACTCTTTGAAATGTAGGCGAACTTTCCTGGAATTGTATTCCTAGGCCCTGTGTGAAATGAGTTGTGTCATGGTCCCGATATTAGTCGATACGAACCCGTATTCTTGAGAAAAACGGAAGTATGGAGAGGTATCGGGTTCCGGACACGCAGCGTATACATTGAGTATCAGGACCCGTATTTTTCCTGAATCGAACTTTTTCCGCGGCATGGAATATCCGATATCCGGACACGTCATTGAAACGCGGCGTGTCAAGACCCGTAAACGTCCTTATTTTTCTAGATTTGCCGAGAATCACGGAGTGGGCCGTTGACGAACGCTACAATTTTTGCCTTTCATTTTCACTAAAATTCCACGCTACGGATTGTGTTATCCTAATTTATAATCCAAACGTTCACGACACGTGAAGATTGTATTCCGTAGAATGCGATGAAATTCCACGATACGTGAAGTTTCGAGTGTTTTCACTTCCCCGAAATTCCATGGTACGTGAAATACCAGGGACTCAAACACCACTGGAATTCCACGGTTCATGAAATTACCGATGTTGAAATCGTGGCAAAACTCCCTGATACGCGAAAATTGCAACACGTTTATTGTACTAAATTCGACGATACTTTCAATTTCCATGCACGATACTGAAAAAACTGATGCCGCCTTTTCACTCCATTGATACCTCACGATATGTTTCCTGGTTAGCATTGCACGTCATTGCATTTCAGGGACGTATTTGTGGGGTTGCAGTATTATACCGAAAATGATTTTTAACAGTTCCGACCATTCTACCATTTTTATCACCGCCCCAGTCTTATTCACTTTAACTAATTGCCCAACGCAAGAGGGAAAAGCACAGGTTTTAAATCGCGTAACATCATTTATTTTAAAGTTCAAATACAGGAACAAAGTTTGATAATTCTGACAGGAAAACGTGCAAAATAATGTGTCAGTTGATAAACCTAACTCTAAAAAGTGTTCGAACATGTTGACAATTCATTTAAAGAAATATACAACATACAGTTGCAAGGCTGATTGAAATATTCAGAATGAGTGATTTCAAAACATTTCAATTTTTTCTAAAAAAAAGTTTTGCAAAAATTAAAACAGAATTCAAAGTGAAGATATTAAATTTAATCAAACAATGGCAACAACTAGAGAGTAATCCATCCATTCTCCATCCTATGTCCATCATCACTGCCACTCCTTACAGTAAAGGAGAATGTGGGGAGGGAGGCTGCAGTGGAGGAGGATGTACTGGTGTGACAACTAGCTCCACTGCTAATCAACGACAATGGCCATGCATGTGAACTAAAGGGTGGTTGGTTTGTAGGTGGATCTCCCTAAACTCTAGGGTTTGGAAGAATTAATCAAGGAGCTGGCATCTAGCTGCTGCAGGGTCTCCTTAACCATCTGTTCGCACCTTCATCTGTTTTACTAAAATCTGCAAAGCACGGTCATTGAAAAAAGTGAGCGATAACAACAAATTAGAGCCCAAAATAGTGGTTAAGGTAGTTTATTTTTGTACATGTCTATGAACCTCTTTACTACCCATGCTTATAATAACATCATCAACCACAACAATAATAATGATAATAATCATGTGATTTTAAGGATAATAAGACTTTCAAATTTCTTTCCGATTTCTGTATATAAACAGAAATGAAACTGGATCACAATCGCCTTGACATCGTGTGTGTGGACCAACAGAACAAAAATTGCCTCATCACTGATATTGCATGTCCTTGTGACAAAAGGGTGGACATCGAACAAGAGATCAACAACAAGTAAAGTCAACAAGACTTAGTATCTTCATCTGGCATGAAGATACTACTTGTGGAAGATGAAGGGGTAAAAGTTGCCCCTTTTGTTTTGGAGCACTGGGTACTATTCTGAAGACCTAAAGGTTTAACTGAAAAAACATAAATAATTCTGGGATTGAGTTGGCACTGCACTTCAAAGAACAGTCTTGCTGAGATCAGCAAGAATCCTCCAAAGTGTCCTTCAAGTTTAAGGTAGCTTGTTGCCACCCAATAAATTCAATGGGTTTGAAATTTCTGGCATTGACATACCTGCTGTGAGGCATGCACAAAAATAAATTGGGAATTGAAGGAAAAAGACAGGTGATTGTCCTCAATAACATTATTATTATCAACAGCCGAATAAAATAAGGGTACTAATAGACCTTTTTACCAATACGGTGGCCATATTGAATTAATCCAATTTAAGGAGTATTATAGGATGCCCAGGGGGCATGAGCACATTTCGCTTGTATTTTGGAGCGCTTTTCGGGACATTTTTTTCTTAAAGTTTTCTTAGAATAAGATTGTAATGGGAAAAAAGATCCTTGTGCCGTGTTTGGATGTAATCATGATCACCTTTTTCCCGAGAAATATACGGTGAAAGACCATATTTCTAATGCTAAACTAGAAAAAGGCGATCATTATTACATCCAAACAGGGCACAAGAATCTTTTTTCCCATTACAATCTTATTCTAAGAAAACTTTACGAAAAAATGTCCTGAAAAGCACTCCAAAATACAAATAAAATGTGCTCATGCCCCCAGGGCATCCTATAATACTCCTTAAATCGAATTAATTCAATATGGCTGCTGTATCAGTAAAAAGCTCCATTAAAAGCAGTTTACATATACACTGTAGATAAACTATCTTCAGATCATACGTACAGCTATTTCATACATTATTTTTTTAAAAGGTTAATTTGCACAGTAGTTCAAAATAATATTATCTAAACTAAACGTAATTTGGACAAAACCTGGAGCTGCGATACAGTGTTTTTGAAAAAGCAAAGCCGAATTAATGAAGGGTGAAATGAAATGTAATGCTGTATTGGTATAAAATAGATTCTCAATAACTGCAAATCTATTTTGTCAATGCAGTTTTCATAAAAGAGCTTGTGTGTTTATAAATCAAGCACTACACCTACTGGAAAATGCGACTGCATGTACCACTCCAATAAAGAGGTCCAAAAACAAAATACCATATTTATTTGATTAAGTTCCTTGCCTGGGTACTCACTAAAGTTTTGCACCTTGAGAGTGGGTTATTATTCAAGTTGGTCACTTTAATAATTATGTGTATTTGGGCTGGGTGTTTAATGAATTCTCAAAGTTTTCACCAAAAGTAATTTTGTTGGAGATAGAGTAATTTTGTTTGAGTTCCAAAGCAGATTTTTAACTGTTCATTGAAAATTTCTTTAAAATACTGTACTAAGAAAACTTGGTCTCTTAATTTAGTAGAACTTAGTCTTTTTCAATCTAGCTGGTATGGGGTAGGCACTTATTCGAGGTTAGGAGATAATTCATTTTTTTTCTGCCTATAAGGTGGAGGGTTATTGGAGGTGGGCAGTTACTTGAGGTTGAGCACTTTATCAAATAAATAATAAGGTATTCTATTTTCTTTTCAGCACTTGTTGTTAATAATTACAAATTCTCAGTAACATTGACTTTTCTTCTATTTTCTGGTACAAACCCCTCAACCCCAGTGTCACTAACCTGCACAATAATATTGCATAGTGCTCCTAAGATGTTTGCCTAGTACTGAAAGGAAAATCAGGAATCAATGAAGTTCACTTAATTACTTTTAACTGTCACTGCTGCCTTAATTACCCATTGAAATGTAAGATACTGAGTATTTACAAATTAATGTACAGGGGCTGTGCCACTACAGTCTTAGTTCACTTTTTTAATATTAAACAATAAATGGTGTGGGATGAGGTTTTGTGATATCCAGAAATAATCAAGGAAGAGGATTGACTAAATGACATCAGCTGAGCCGAAGGCTGAGGCTGATAACACATACTGAGACCTTGATTATTCCAAATATCACAAAAACCAAGTCTAATAGTTGTTTCATTATGCATTGTTTTCAAAAAAACAAGGACAAACACAGAATTGCATGGAACACAGTTTGACATTCCTCTTAGAAATCATACTTGGTGCACACCAGGGGGTAGAGGCAAAGTCAGGCTTATGGCGTATGATCCCTGCCAAAATTCATGGTTTCAATTTTAAATGCATCATTTAAAACTCTAACCTCGGTACTTGAATTTTATAGCTGAATTCAAAATTTTACACTCTTCCTTTAGAAGAAAACGCTTGTATGCTCGTGCCCCTTAGCTTTTAAACTCAACTCTTCTATTTTACCTTGCTCACTGTGTATTTTCAACTCGCTTCATCAAATTACATAGTAGAACCATGCAATTTTCAACTCGGCGCAATGAATAAAACTATACACCAGACAAATTTTCCAATATTGCTACTTTTTATAAGCTTGAATGCCTAAACAACTACTCAGGGTATTTTGCCACTTACCGAGTCATATTTCAAACTCAACCATGTGTATTTTCAACACGACTTGTGAATTTTCGTTCACACTTCAGTGATTATTGATCAAGACCAGGGAGCCTCCCTGGGTCAAGACAATAGAAGCCTTTGTCGGGTGGGTGGCTCTTTAGTCCATCGTGCTTCATGCATATTGCACAAACATGGCGGCAGAGTTTGCACTTGCTTAGATTCCTATCAGTATGGTGACAGGGTGCAAAGAAAGTCATTTTTACAGCTGAAGCTAACATTTACTAGCCCAAACATCATTTCAACTAGCCCCAAAAATGTTTTGATGAGCAGATTGATTTGACAGTACTTCTGTAATTTGAATTCCTCAAAAAACTTCCCTTGCCCATTGGGCAAGTTAATAAGGGAACGCGTCCAAATATCGGCATCGGGTCATACCGATGCCGATCAATTGGGCACCGATTTTTTCCGATTCCGTTGAAGGTCGGACCCGATTTTATCGGCACCGAATGAAAGGGAATCGGCAACGGGTCTCAAGTCTTTATCGGGCCAATTAACAAAGGTCATCAAAAATATCTGGCAGCTCAAATAACCCGTCACAAAAGCAAAAGCAAAAGTGTGAATGTTGTTTTTTATAACCTTATCTTTCTTATAAATGTGTCTTGTTTGAACCGAAATTTAACGTCACGGTTTCGAACATTTGTTTGTATTTCCTATGACAGAGTATGAACAGAAAATATTAAATTTGTGTATCAAAATGGGCACGAGAAGAAACAACAGGCATCTCTTGAGTGAAAGACGGCGCAATGTACATTGCAAGTGTACGATGTGATAATTTTAAAAAATGATAATTTTAAAATAGCTTGAGCCTTTGCTAACCGGAACCCAAAACGCATGATTATAGGAATCTTTGGAGGAATAAACAGTTTAGGACGGTAAACGAAAAAAATAGAAGTCAGAACATCCACGACCAAAATGCAAATGTTGTTATCATGTTGTGTACTTTAACTGCTAAATTGCCACAGGAGAGAAGAGGACATCGTCTGAGAATCAAGCTGCAAGTTGTTTATTGGTTGCATATGAACTCAAAAAAGTGACTGATGGAGGCGTTCAACTGGTTTTCTCTTTCTCGATTGTCTTTCCGCTATTAAATTGAGTCGAACTTACCGGATGTATGCCAGTTTACTTTAGTTGAACACTCCGGTAAAATAGGTTCTGATTTTTGTCAAACAGTCAGCCACCTAGAGTCAAGGGCAATTTTTTCTAAGTGCTGAGAGTGGAAAGCAATTTTACGTGGCACCATGCTCAAGCTCACAGAACATACAGCAAAGTCGCTAAGCCATTCTCTCTTTGGTAGCTCCTGTATGAAACTTCGTTTCGTGTCTTCCGTGACTCGCGAGTGTGGGAATCTTTCAGTTCCTGTTGCCAATTCCCTGAGACAATCTGAGGCCCCAATCTAATTGGTCGGTATTTTTGCCTCAGATCGCATTACACCTTGCGTTTAGGATCGTTGAATGAAAGAAGCAAATTTTCGTAAAAGTTTATCCCGTGGTTTTACATTATCCATGGTTTTGCTCTCGCTCCGCTCGCTAGGAAACCCGTTGAGGTCTACTTGTAACAAGTCTATGAATCCAGCTGTGTTTCGAGAAAGTGAGTTCCGGTTGTGTTTTTGGATTGCATTGTTAGAAATTAGTATCGAGTAAAGAACACACTACTCAGTATGGTGTTTTGTTTGCTATATATCAACGAAGAACAGTGGTGTTTTGCGTCGTAATATTTAACTCCTTTTAATTTTCATAGAATAAATGTTATGGAGCAGCGTGGTGTTTGCGATCGACTGAAGGAAATACCTCTGCAAAACGCAGAAAATCACGTGTATAGGCACGCATCAAATCAACAAACTCGAAAAACAACATGCAGAAACATACAATATTGCTATTTGTTATGGAGTAGGAAAAAGGTACAGTCGATTGAAATTGCTTTGAAGTGAAACGACTCTGTCATTATTTGGTTTCGTGACACGCTTCATTTTACATATCAGATAAAATAATATGACGATGACACATATGAACATCGGAATGTCAACCGGCTCCGATTGAATCGGCAAAGTTTTTATCGTAATCGGAAACGGCAACTGGTGCCTACAGATCGGTAACGATTCCGATCAATCGGAAAATTAATCGGGTCCGTTTCCCATGATCGGGTTCCCTACCGATCCCTACTCACTAGTCTGAGAGCAAAATCCACTAGCCCCGGGCTATCGGACACTACTTTCTTTGCATGCTGGGTGATTACAGCAGATTCATGCATCGAGTGGGGTATTCAAATCGCACCACTGTAAATAGTGGGATTTACCTGATTCTATCGTGGCTGGCATGGGATCCGCCATAGCATGTTTATCGAGTGCACAGCAATAAAAGGGGTTGGTTGGTAGGCCTATTAAAACGACTTTTTCCTCCTACCAAAATATTGCTCATTCCAATAAGTTTTTTTCCCCTGCTGGGTAGATTATGCTCTGGAAGGTTCTACAATTTCACTGAACAAATGTGATTTTTGGCACTTGTTTCACACTGAGAGGTCATGGAACACATATTGATTTACTGTGGTTTTTGTTTCTGGTCGGCAGGATTTGTCCTCTGACGCAAGAGCATTTTCTTTGACCTCTTTTAAAGCATAAAGCTTTTTATTACGGCTGAATAAGGGTTCTAATTTTCTCTAAAGGGCCTTCTGGATTTGAATATTTTAAGCGATTTTCTCTAGTCCTGTAATGTAATGTTTTTCTGCAATGTTGTATCATTCTGGGCCTAACTCATTTAGTAGTTTTCTTTGCAGGATATTAAATTATCACAGATAGTGATTTACAGATCCAAAATTATAAGAATGAGGTGCATCAACTATAGATAATTGCATTGGGACTTAGTAGACTTTAGCTTATTGTTTTTCTAAAGATAATATGAGTCTTTTGACTGGAGTGTGTATTTTTTCCCTTAATAGTAATACCTTTTGAATGAGCTTAACTGTCTTTGGACTGTTTTTTATGGCCACTGTATTAATTTTGTGATCAGGCAATCAGAGATTCTGATCAAATCAAACAATCAAAAATTTCCTTACAGATCACTTGAAATGAACACTACACATGTGAGAAGGCCCAGGCAAACACTTGCGCTTAAAGCACAATGGACTAAAGAACCACCCACTCCGACAAAGGCTTGTATGGGGGGGGAGGCTCCCTGGTCTTGATCAATGATCACTGTAGTGTAAACAAAAATTCATAAGTTTTGTTGAAAATATACATGGTCGGGTTTGAAATGTGACTCGGTAAGTAGAAAAATGCACCAAGTATTGGCTCAGGCATTCAAGCTTATAAAAAGTAGCAATGTAGCAAAATTTGTCCAGTGTATGTATAGTTTTATTCACAGCGTTGAGTTGAAAATTGTATAGTTCTACTATGTAACTGTAATTTGATGAAGCGAGTTGAAAATACACAGCGAGCAAGGTCAAAAATAGAAGAGTTGGGTTTAAAAGCTAATGTTGAATTTAAAATTCAAACCCTAAATTTTCGTGGGGATCGTACACTAAACGGACTGAAAAACACTTTCGCAACTTGCAAAGCAGTCACCTTGTGTGGTAGTTCAGAGGTGAAAAGCGAACCAGCAAAGAGAATAATATTCAATAACTGAAAAAAATGTATCTCATGCCTTTTTGTTTTTCTCACATATCGTATTTGTCCTCGCAAAATCGAAGCGACACTACCTGCATTACTGTGTAAATTCTTAACCAACAACAATGCGTGCTGAACTTCCCTCCCCCACCTCCCTCCGTGCACACAACCTACAGATTAGTCACTAATAGACCTTTCCCGCATTACGCTCTATTGAGCAAACGCAAAGAAATGAGGATGAGGTTCGGGTGGACAATTTCATACAAAGGTCTATCTGCCAGCAGATAACTAACTAATCTGTAGGTTGAGCTTGCAATGTATGATTTCTAAGAACAAACTGTGTATACTGTCTTTGTCCTAATTTTCTTGATAACACTGTACAGGGCTGTGAACATTTTTTTTTCTCTTAAAAGGACATAATGTCTCACTAAGACACCATCTTGGTTGGACAAGCAAAGTTTTAGTTGTACATAATGCCAATTACAAGTCCTTATTCTATAGGAAAATTCATTACCTGATGAGGGAATTCCACGTTAAATTGCACGCGAAAACCGATATTGCATGAATCACGCAGCAATGAGTGTGATATCGGTTTTCAAGTGCAATTTAACGTGGAATTCCCCCGTCAGGTAATGGATTTTCCTTGAATCGCAAATTAAAATCAGAAAAAAAAAACGGCAATAATATTGTTTGTTTTTATCCTGAGCGCGCGCTCCAGGAAGCCATTTCAATGTCAGCTGTCAGAGCTGTCTTTGCGTTAGCGAATAGGAAGCAAGGTCAGTCGTACACGTTTGACCCTTGGACAACTTTTTTTGTACCTTGTGCTTGTTTTCACATTTTGTTGTCAATCTCTTTTACATGTAAACAAGCTTCACACTAATCTTAAGAATAAATAGAGGTATTTCACTAAATTTACGAGCCGTTTATCTATATCATCTTTTTTCAAATTGGTCATTTGCTCGAGAAGGAAAATAATATACACCTTTTACCTCTTCGGCGGCAAAACTGAAAGAAATGAAGTGTCCAAGCAAAAGCACTTAAAGTTTAACGTCGCGATTGATACAATCATGGTAAGTACCTTGAAATGTTTTAGAAATGCTGTTCAAGTTCAGCTCTGTTTTGTACTTTTCTAAGTATCACGATTCAGGACGATTGCAAGCGGCGTACTCTTTTTCGTGTTTTCACTCAGGGGCCATGTCGTCTTTGAAGGTATTTATTTCTTCTCCTGTATAATTTATGTGACAATCAACCCCGGCACTTCCTCTGTTGTCGCTTCTCCGTTTTGTTTGGTTGAACTTTGGCTGGCCATTTTCTGGGCCGTGTTCACAAGATTTTCTTCTTTTCTCGTTGTCGTGAGCGAAAGAGGTTTTTTATGCCTCTTCGAGAATTTGTAGTTCAGTTCAAAACAAGGAAGAACGTCCGGCTCACTATAAAAACGCTTTTGTTTGTCTTGAACTCTTCAAAAGGTGACAATGGTTTTGAAAACATTTTAAAATGACATTGTAGAAAACCTTTTTTGCAGTTGTGTTGTGTTAGAATTTGACGATAGTTGTTACCTACATGTAGATGCGAAACAATATTGCTTAGCCTCGTTTTCAACTCGCAATTCCTCACTAAATACCTCGCTTCGTTAACCAATCAGAATGCGAGATTTTACTCAGTTATGCGATCTTCAGTAGAACCTAGTGTAAGTGAAGAAATATTACTTCAAATATCACTGTTTCATGTAAACAAATTTGTCCCGAAGCATTACATTTTCATCAAAGTTACAGGCAAAAAGAATGAACTTTCGGCCAACAAGTTTTCAAAAACCTCTATTCTTGGCTTGGAACCACGTGACAAGGCGGTCATATTGGTGGTGTGTTGGAGGTCATTACAATAGAATGTTTTTTTTTTTAAGAATTTACATGAAAATAGGGTTTAGTTCCTGGAGGAGAGAAATGCTTTTGTTCTTTACCCTAACACACCACCAATATGGCTGCTGTGACGTCAAGTGCAAACCAGCAATTGTAATCCATTTTAATCTTCTTCAAGTTTGTCTGTCTGAGCCTCCTTTTGCGTTTGCTGTCTTGTTTATACCTTCTTCAACTGTTGTGAGTAGTTATTTTTATGTTTCAGTCAATATGGTGGCGGTTTCATCTGTTTAAATTTTGATAAATTTCGTGCCACAGCTCCTTTATAAAACATTGATTCCATTGAAAACTTAATATGATTTAAATAGTTTGAAAACAGGGCAGCTTACCTTTTCTTGCTATTTAATTTTCCAGCAAAATCCTGAGTCTTGGAGCGCTTTAGTAGTACAGTCCTTAGTATACTTCGGTGTTCAAATTCTCAGTCTGCTTGACTGACTCTCCTGTATCGAAAGGGTTGCCTCTTAAGATCTATCGACAACTGAAGGTTGAACGTTCGATGATAATGTGTTACAATCCTCAGATGTCCTGTGATGCTATCGAGAAGCATAATTATGGACTCAAACTTCTGAGGGAAATCAAACAAGTTGGCGTGATCGAAACGATCGATTTCACACTTTCAAAATGGACGCCAAATCGGAACCTGAAAGAGCATGTGCAAAGCGAATACCCGCTGACCAGTTGCTTTGCTGTATTGTTTCATTTCCAGGCCTCATTCGAACGTATAACCCCCAGGTTTTCTTCCTTTTTCTTCTCCTGACAGAAGCGATACCCGGGAAGCGATAAAGGCAGTTCAAAAAACAATGTAGTGTTTGTAGAAAGTTAGTCAATACTCCGTTAAAATTAAGTAGCCATAGTTTTTCGAGAATGCCGTCTGTCGTTCATCGTAAGTGAGGAAATAGTTATCACGCATGTTCTCTCTGTTTTGAATTTGTTTTCGTTTAACTCGTTGTGACAAAGACACTGTATTATTTTTCAAGAGTAAGTGACGGGCCATTTATGTTAACAATGCCTTCCAGTCACCCGAACAAGAATTACAAGATCTCCAAAAACAACAAGCCAACGATTCTCATCGTTAGCGGTGTGAAAACTACTTCGGTCATGCTAAAAACAACAAAGAAAACAGATCCTGCTATCAGAGTGCACGTGGCAACCTTACAGTTACTCATCTTTCATATCTCGCGTAAGAGAATGAGCGTAAAATTGTTGCAACCTTATGTTCCCTTCATTCAACCTTTAAGCCAAATGCGTAAATCTTTAACAACCTTGGCGTACCTTGGAAAGTTTGCGTAAATGAGTTAGTTGTGTTTTTATTAGGTAAAGTTTAATTTTTCCTAAATTTCAGTTTTCATGCCATTTTACCTCACGGTCGAAAGTCGACATGGCTTTGGCTAACTGATATCGTTAAGAATCAGAGCTCGTATATTTCTTGACACACCGCAGAAGACGTGTCCGGGCCACGATTTGTCCTGATTTTTCACGACAGAGGTATCGGGGACACGGACACTCTCTGAAACGCCGCGTTTCATGACACCTCGCGTGTCGGTATACGATTTGCTAAGTGCCATGGGAGTATCGTGGCCCTGTAAATTCCACTAAATTACTTATTTCACGCAGTGAGCTAGCTAGCTAGGGGCTATATCCAAGTTCAGAAAGAGAAATAGAACTTTGTCGTTGCTTGTTTACGTTCTCAGCGAAAGCGAAATCAGACATTTCCACGTCGTAGTCGTACAAAAACGGGAAAGAAATAAACAAAAACGTGCGATGCACGTGCAGAGTTGATGTTTTTCTTATTAAATCTATTGTTTTATTCTCGCTGCCTTTACGTCATTGGATCTTCAAAACTCTACTATCGTTTTCGCATGGTCCCTGATGCGACAACCCTCAGCCTTAAAAAAAGGCGTATCTAGGCACACGTTTTCTGCACTAGTCTTATTTCGGACTTCACGGTACCTGTCAGTGAACTATGTCTACTTTATTATCACTAGGGATAATTTGATCTATTCCTACTCTTTGCACTGTGACACTCTGTAAACCGTTATCACCTGCAGTTTGTAATGTTGATTTTTGTTGAATTTCAGGTATCGTTTCATGGATTTGATTAAAAAATGTCTGCCAAGGCCTTGAGTAAATATTACGTTAAAAGGTTTATTATCAACTTCATTTGACTTACACAATGGACATAATTTACTTTATCTAGGGAGATGCCAATATGGGTCAATGACGTAGTGCAACATGACGGTGGCAACGTGGTCAAGCAGCAGGCTGAATTTCTGCGTTATTTTGTTGTAGGTCATCTTGGGCACAACATCTACTCTGGATGATGGTAAGAATATCAGTTATACTTCTAAAGAAGTAAATCAGCCTAAACAATACATTTCTGGCCTTCCCAGCCTTCAACTATCTCTCAGATTTAAGTCTCAACTGACTTCTACGAAACGCGCAGTGTTAGCTACTGGCTATACCGTTTAGCTCTTACAAATCCATTTCAGCACTTTGTTTGTCTGGTTAACGATGTAGCTTCAAATCCTGGCCCTCACGCTTTCTCTACCTGTTACTTATGGTGCACCACAGGGAGAATCCTGGAGCCTTTACTTTTTTGTTGTTTACATAGATGATCTGCCTACTGTTGTCAATCACTGTAGTGTATCCCCTTATGCGAACGATGCTGTTTTATACTGCTACTCCTCTAACATAAAAGATCTTGAGAATACTCTGAATGAAGTTCTGCAGAGGATAGCTCTGTGGCTGACTTAAAACAAGCTTACACTTAATATAGAGAAGACCTAGTCCATGCTTATCGGCAGCGATCGCAAATTGCGTGCTACCACCGATATCTGTCTCAGTATTTGACAAAAAAGTTGGGGGGAGGGTTGGACGCTTTAAATACTTGGTTGTAACTTTATTCTCAAATTTTACCTGGACGGAGCATATTGAATAAGTTTCCACAGAAGACAAATCAACGTTTAGGCCTTTCAAGGAAGACTAAGTCTTTGCTTCCACATATTGGGCGAATTCATTTCTATAACAGGCTCATTCTCCCGAACTTTGATTATGACGGCATTGTTTGGGGGGATAAGGACAATGCCGTACTCATGAACAATTTACAACTTCTGCAGAACAAGGCTGCCAAAACTATATTAAATCGACCTTTCCACTCATCTGCTACCGATGCAGTTGAAGCCCTAGAGTGGTTAACCTCGGAGAAAGTTGCGGAACTTCAACGGGATTCGAACCCACGGCGGCTCCGCGTTTCTAATTTTCATAGTTCAACTGGTTAGAGCACTGCAGCGCTAAACGCTGAGGCCATGGGTTCGAATCCCGTTGAAGTCCAGAAATTTTTTTCGGGGTTAATTTGCAATATCTTAAATCGCAATTACCAATGCGACGATCATATCTTCATTTAAAAAAAGAAATTAATATCGTGTTTTTTTTCTAACGATAATTTGTGACCCTCCACAGGATTTTGATGCGAAAGGTGAAAGCACTCGTTCGACACGCTTCAACTTTAAAACAAAGAATTTATTTTAACAACACGCTTTAGCACACTTGCCATCTTGCGTCATTAGCAATTTCTTTTGCTTCAGAGGACACGTTTGAGACAATTAAGCGCGAGCAAGTCAAACAAAAGAGCGTGTTCAAGTTTTTAAACAACAGCTGCTCGCGAAATAGCGTAACACGCTTTCAGTGTGCGCAAAAGCACGAAAGGCATATTATCTAAAGCTACAGTAAAAGTTCAAAAGTACTCGAAACTTGATTCTCGGCTGTTAGACGCGAGAACCGAGTCTAGGCCATTGAGTTACGAGGAAAAAAAACTGGATTTTTTAAATATTCATCAGTGTCGAGAAAACAATTTATTTCTTCGCATCTACAGAAATTCACCGCCCACCAGTGCTTTCCACAGGTAACCCAGGCTCTGTGATAGTACCTCAGTACGGTTCCAGTAAAATTACAGTGTTTCAGGATATGGCGTAAAAATACGATCCCAAAATTTTTAGGAAATACTAAATAAAGGTCAGTGAAACTTACTCTGCAAGTAGTTGTTGTTGTAGTTAATACTCCAACGAAGTTTCGTGACAATTTGTTCAAATTCACTCTCTATACAATAATAATACACAAGGTAGGAGGCACGAGATGCCATCTTGACCGCCATGCTCCCTTTCCAGCACAACGTTTTCCATGAAATTCAGACTGAAACGGAAAATAAACATGCTAGAGTCGTAGAAATAGGATAGCATCCGATATAGAAGCCTTTTGCATCAAAATCCTGTGGGAGGCTAACTTTTGTCAAGCTATGTATCGGTCCCTAGAAAGCTCAACCCAGGACACCCGGGATCGATTTGATTTGTACAGTGCCCAGGCCTCATTTGCTAGGCCGCGCGTTGATCTGGTCCGACTACTTCGGCGCGCTGTTTCTCGGCCTTTTCGGACTATATTCTCCGAGTTGTCAAAGTCTGCGAGGTTCGTTTCTCTACCCGAGAAAGCCTCATTGGTTTCTGTATTTGATGCCATCTTATTTCTACGATCCTAGCATGTTTATTTTCCGTTGGAGTTCGTGTACAAAAGTTGTGTTGGAAAGGGATGATGGCGGCCAAGATGGCATCTCGCGCCTCCTACCTCGTGTATTATTACAGACGCACGGCAACATGGAATCTATTTGTTAAGCAGAGTAAGTTTCACTGACCTTTTTTCAATATTTCCTAAAAATGTTAGGATCGTATTTTTACCCCATACAAACACTGTAGTTTTACTGGAACGGTACTCTGGTACTATCACAGAGACTGGGTTACCTGTGTGCTGTCATTCGCGTGCACTTCTTATGTTACACTTTTTACCGATTTTATAAGGACCAACGGTAGGTTGCTTATCTGAACTTTTGGAAAATTGTATCTGTGTATTTTGGCACGAAAGCTATCTTGTGAATTATAAAATATGTTTGTTTTTTGGTGCATAATTTGAGTCGGGTCGTGTGATCAGTCGCGATGGCGAAGGAGAAATATGATCTTGAAGTTTATTAGTCGGGAATGGCTGTCAAAATGGCAATGTTTGCGAGCCGTCCTATAATAATCACAAAATACATAATGTATAACCTGGATAATTAACAATTATTCCACGAGGGCGCGTTGGATATGAGATGATAGATAGCCAACGAGGCGCATAGCGCCGAGTTGGCTATAATCATTTCATATCCAACAAGCCCGAGTGGAATAATTGTTTTATTAAAAACGCCCACAAAATCTCGTTGAATTGCCCCGACTAGAACAAACCGGAAAAGACAAGGGACTTCCGCTATTGACATGTCACACGTCTATCAAAACTGTCAACGCGCGAACGGACTCGCCTAGACTGCATGAATGAAAAATCAAAACATTGTCGCGATGAACATTAGTTTTTTAAAAACTCATCGTGATTCTAGGATTTTACACAGCAGAACAGCTTAAAAAACCTGGCAGATAATGTGAAGGAAAGGAATTTTTAAGTGACAGCCGTCGAAATTACTATGAATTTGGATTTTCGGTGCAGTTATAAAAGTAAGAACAACGGAGAAAAACTACCGGTATTACCTCGGTCGCTTGTTATGAAGTTGTTTGAAGCCACAAGCTGGTTTTGCTGAACGAGAAAAGAAGCTATACTGCCGCCTCGATTGCTCTAGTGAATGGCTGCATAGCCTGTATTTGTAGCTGGTTACTTTTGATTTATATTCTTGATGTCGGATAAACAAGCTGCAGTTATCTATCGGCGAGTGACTTGATCGGCGAAGAATGGCTTCGCGATCATGAAGAAACAACACTTGTCTTCTTTCGTAGCTGGTCAAGGTACTTTAGTTCCATGTGTTTTCATGTGTTTTTCGACAAACTTTCAGACAAGCTCTTGTGGCTTTTTTGTTTGTTTTTGTCTTTTTTCTTGCGCTGAAATTGCATTTCTAGTATTCTAAGAAATGAATTAAAACGATTTGCTTCGGGCGCCGTTCTATCCTTCGCGAAAAAAAATCTCAGCTAGCTTCCAATTTTAAACTGACGCGTACACCGACCATATATGGAGAACATGGTATATTAGCTCATATACCATAACGGCTAAGCCAATGAAAATGCTAGAATTGCATTATCCAATGATTCAGTTTTTAATAAAGCTGAATAGCTAATAAATCTTCAAGTTGATTCAGACGCCGCATCTCAAAGCAGTTACTACCTCTCGAATTAAATTAGGCACATGTGAAATTCGACGTTTGAACTGGGTAATGATAAGAGTGTCTAATATTACTAAAAATACCGGTAGATACGCTATGACACATACGGCCTTTTTTATATTCCTGTAAACTTTGCTTTGTATAGGTAATCACATGATTTCGAGTGCAATTTGGAATAAATAAGCAATCATGTGATTACTTATTAATAATACACACGAAAAACGTAACTACAACAACAAATTTTGACAACGCGCGCGCTTTTAGTTCATTCAACTGATTGGCTGAAACAGGCTACTACCTTTGTCAAATTCAAACTTTTTCAAGGCCGACGCTTTCAAAATCATTCAGGTAAGAACTTGGAAATGTGCAAGGATTGAGTTTATATGGTCACCAGCCCGTTAAAGACAACTCGGTTAATTTAATTTATTCCATTTTCACTACAAAAAAAAAAAACTTAGCTAAATTACGTAAGAGAACAATTAACTACATACTAGGAAAAAAAAATTATTGCAGTGGGAAAGGACTAGAAGGGAACATACGAACCATTCGAGCTAGTCCACCCAATAACAATCAGCAAAAGTAAGTGTTTTAAATTCATCCTCGATTATGAAAGCTCGGCGTTTACAAGAAGCGTTTACAAGAAGTATACTGCCGTTTTGAAATCAGGAGAACGCTTCGAGCAGCCAAAGATGAAAGACATTTGCTAAGGTTTTTTAACGACTGTTCATCATTGTCTGTTCCTGAGACCCCATCATGGCTGGATTCATGCAGAAATTTTTGAGATTTAAAACCCGAAAATGAAGGAGGCAATTTGTTTTCTTCCGACGCTGCCATCGATGGGTAAGTGGAGCCACAGTTTCTGGGATGTCGGAAACTGCCAGTATTAATATAATATTTGCTTTTTCTCAGCGCTGGGGTTTTCAATATTTCACTTAGCCTACTGCAAGAGTCGGCTTCGTAGTCGTTAAGGAAATTTATACCTCTGTGACTTGTGACATTGGCGATATGTTCTGAACTTACAAGCTTTGCTTTCTTCAGCTTCCTGACTGTTGTTTTTCTTGTACAATGATTCGTAAACTTTTTTCTCACTTTTTTAAGGCTAGTACCAGCTACGGATACTTTCGTTATGTTTGTTATGGTATTTTCGCCTATTGGCTTAATTTAGACTAGATGTTTAAATTTTCGGTTTCGTTTGCCACTGAGATAGAGAAAAACAGACGATAGCATGGATGTTTTAATAGAGGTCTTTGCTCCACAAAGACTTAAAGAGAGCAACCGAACACCTTTCTCCTCCAACAAATAAAGTACGTGACTTGAAATCCCTGTTATTATCATGGAAAACTTGTATCCTTCTTCATTTAAATGCTTGAAAAGTGTCGCTGTCATTGTTTGCGTGTGGTTGCCACCGTTTTTGGTCTCTATTTTTTTACTTTAGCGTAGTCTGTTATAAGTAGCTTGTTTTTTAGTTTCTCTGGCTCATTTTCCTCGATTTTGTTGACGGTATTTTTCTCTTAGCACCGCATTTTCAATACATTTAGCCAGAAAGACGTACTTTTTACTGTGTTCGGGTTTTTGGAATATTTTTTTAACTTTTCTTTTGTTGTTTTGCGTACAAAATTAAATCCCGTCACCGTCTGCTGAAAACCATGGCCATTTTCTTGAATTTTGTTGCTAAAACAGCTCTAATCTGATTGGTTCTTGGTGGGTTTTTTTGTGCTTTCAGCCTATCAGAAACCATTTGTAATTTGCACTCGTGTTACAAGTTTTGTACTCGTGTAACAAGTTTACACTCGTGTTACAGAAGAGCTGCACTCCTTTCTCAGCCAATCAGAAATGAGCAATTTTTTCGTGTATATTATTAATCACATTACGTTACTAGCTATATGCACCACACAGGTAAAAAAAAGTAAAAAAGAAAAAGAAAAAAAAAGGTTACGAAAAATTTGCTTAAGGGGATTTGAACCTTAGAGTCTCTCTGAATCACTTAGAGGCGAAAGTTAACCCCTCTAACCACTGGACCGCCTCAATGAAGGGTAAAAAGTATAGTTAAAAGAAGTATATATTCCTTCTATATGGTGATTGACAGTTTTCAAGTCGATTTTTAGGTTTCCTTGTAGAATTAAATCTTTAACTGATCGAAGCCAGACGTAAAGCTCACAATAAACCCAGGCTTGGTCCGTGCCGGGGAACGTTCAAGAAATTTATGAAATGAACTATCAATCGCGCGGCTACCGACTGAACAGTATGACCGTACAATTCTCTCCCTGCTCGTAAGGTGTCTTTCCATCGGTCGAGGAAAACACGGTTGTCCGTCACATTGCTTAATTTTTTGCACGCTTTACATCTCTTGTATGCTTTGCTTTCCCTTGAAATTCTGATATCCTTGTCGACCTCTGTCGGACGGTGACGACGGTGGAGGGACCAGGGACCAGGTAACCTAACCACCGAGCTTCCAACCGCTTTCACAGAGTAGACCACCGTGCCTTCACGATTTATAAGGTCAGTTAGTCTTAAAATGTTGAACGTGGATCACTTAATTGTGAATGACGATGTATATGTGTTCGATACGCGAAACTGTAATTGTTTCTTTACAACGCATCGCTATCCCCCTTTTCTAAAATTCCGACAAAGACAAAGAATTTTCCCCAATTTCCGACAGCGACGTGAAGCATTTATAAACACCGACACGAGACGCTTTAAAATTCAGACGAGCGACATGGGACCCACCCCAAATACATCCTGTTAGCTTTGAAAGTTCTCCTTTATTAACAAACGTTTTAACGTTTAAAAACATTTATTTCGGCAAACAAACAGTTAAGTTTAAAGGATTGTGCAAAAGCCTTAAAAGTAGGTCCCCTTTTCGATTTTAACTTGAAATATCGGTCAATTTACGCAACTTTTAAACTTCTGGCTCAGTTTTTGTTGCTTCTGCTTTTAGAATGGAATAATAATTACTCAGGGACAATACAGTTTAAAGAATTGCTCAGAAAAACAACAAAAACTTGCCAATTTAAGACAAAAAAGGTACTTTAAAAACGAACTAAACATTGAAAACGCTTTGATCACGTGACTGATGACGTCATGTCCCTCTTTTGGTCATGAAAAAAATTATCAGGTACAACGTTACTTTCCTGCAAATTTTCTCTGCCGTGTGATGAAAGGTTGACTCTCTAGTCTCTACAGCCCTCGGCCTAGTCTGCAGACTTTTTCGCGCATGTTCATTATCCCCAGCCTTAAGTCCCTAGGGTTCTCTCTTGATCCGTCGTCCTCGGGAAGTCCGGGAGAGAACGGGCGAGAGAACGCCTAGCCAATATTGGCAAAACACCCCTGATTTTAGCACAATTTTACCCCCGGTGACAATTTTCAAGTTTAAACGTCTGTGTTTTGCAAAAGCTGCTTCTCGATGGCATGGAAGTTTCAAGAAATGCCGGTAAGTCCTAACTTTGTGGTATATTAACGTTTAAGGTTGTTATTTTGCTAATCGCGATGGATTTTTTAACGGACATCGATCGATTGGCATCAACCAGAAGAATGTATGCTAAATGTGTGTAGCTAAAATACTTCAGCATGTGCATATTAAAACCAAACAACCGTAAAAAGCAATACATATTTTCATGAAAAGTTGATGTTATTTTTTGTCGACTCGACAATGGGATGCTTTGCACGCATCCTTAATTAAAATTATTTTTTCGTACGCGCCATGATGATCGTATGTAGTAGAGAGACGTTATTTATTTTCGAAAGTCCGCCTCGTGCCCATCCTCTTTATCTTTGTACTATAACTTAACTTAATTATGACTTGGTATTTTCGAAGATCTGGAGAAGTGAGTTGTAGCCACTGGAAATAAAATGACCTCTAGGGCAAGCCTGAAGCTATTTTTGTGTAATGTGTTATTTTCTGATAATATTTCTGTGTTAAAAGTGTACTCTAAGAGTTTTGTTTACAACGCATTTAATGATTTTGTAGGATATTCTCCTCATCCTTCTTTTATATGTTCTGTAAGAAAGGACACAAGGACACTGCCAAACATTCCATCAATGAAGACCAGTCAACAGCTGAGACTGGAAAAATAGGTACAACTGTGCAATGTATCATATATATGATAATATCACAGACTGTTTTTACACTAAGGCTAATTCCAACAATAATAATAATTTCTTATGCAATCTTTCAGCTAATTATTGTATACCTGGGAATGTAATTCTTACTTTAATTAAATTGAATAGTTAAATTTGTTTATTTGAAAAACTCCAATTATTTCATTATTGTTACGTACACAGCAATTGTAAACTAGGCAACCTTAACAGCATATTATAGCCTCATTATAAACTGCCAATATTTCATTTTTTGATCCCAGTGGGTTTTATATTTGGACAGGCAGAAAAAGAGGGGAGGGGTGGGCTTAATGGGGGTGTGGCAGTGCATTTTATTGCAGGCATATTTGTATTTATTTATTTGCCACACGATTACAATAATTACAAAGAAATGCCAAAAAATATGTAGGAAGAAATGTCGAGGAGGCCTAAAGGAAACTATAGAGCTTAAAGGACGAATACAATAAGATACCATTTATAGATCTGCAAAATAATAATATTTTCTTTATATGGTGTACAAATGGTTCCAATCTTTTAATTAACAGCCACATTAGTACATGCCCTTTTAACACGGTTAATTTTCTACCTTAAAAATGATTTTTGTTTTTAATTCATTGAATTTCAGGTATTTTAATGAGAATCCTTATTGGTAAAGGAACCACTTATGTCCAGAAATGCATGCAATGGCGAAAATGGCGAAACTGGCGAAAAATCGCCAGCTGCTGGCGATTTGAATTGGATGCCAAAAGTGGCCCCTTGGAGGCTGGCGATTTTGGCAAAAATCGCCATGCATGCGATGACGAAACTGACGAAAAATCACCAGCCTCTGGCGATTTGAATTGGATGCCAAAAGTGGCCCCTTGGAGGCTGGCGATTTTGGCGAAAATGGCGATTTTGGCGAAATTGGCAAAAATTGCCAGAGGGCTGGCGATATGTGGCAAAATAATCAAATTGGATGCCAAAAGTGGCCCCTTCAAAGTGGATAACTAAAGAGATCCTTATAACTGTGAGGCAACAGTACTAAAAAAAAGTTCAAATTACTTGCCTAATAAGAGGCCCCAATAACTGTGAGGCAACATTTATCAAATACAACTGAATCAAATATATGACAAAACAGCTTTACCTAACTGTCAAACAACATTATTTTATTAAATACAAGTGAATCAAATATATCTGAAAACAACAAATGGAAGTCGTTTCAGTTAAGCTAATATGTATTTGTGCCATGTACTTCACAGGTTAAGTAAACATTTCCTTACTTTCGATGTCGCTTGACTTACCAAAAGTGATGTGATGCGCTGAAATATCACACTAGCATCATTTGCTTTTGTATGGTTCATTCATTTCAAAGACATACAAGTCACCTAATTACTCGAGGAGAGAACTACCAAGTCCTTGAAATCATAATAATTCCTTGCCATGGACACTCCAACTTTTGAGGTTCGATGTAGACCTTACCAATCCTCACTGGTTACAATTCTCTTCACATTGGTTCCATTAAATTGTGAGGCAGCCTTAAATCAAAAGCGATTGCTAAACGCATGGTTCCTGGCTAAAAGATGCTTTCACGATAACCATTGTGTGCCCTTGATTCTTTTTTGGTTCTCCACTATACACATTATCTTCTTCCGTCGTTTTAAACTCTTCACTTTCTTCTCGCACTTACTTGTTTTGCTCTTTAGAGAAACGGTCCCCTAAAAGTAACGAAAGCCGAAATGTCCAGCAGCTTGCATGCGCCATTTTGAAATGTGTGAATTCGCTTATTTCCGATTTATGTAAACCTGCACGAAATGTCACTTGTGCCCAATACTTCACCGCATTTATTGAACATAAACATTGGATCAAAGTAATAACTTGTTTGTCTCTTTCATAAAACATATCCCATTCAAACTAATTCTGTATCTTTTCATCAACCTAGATATATAAAAAGAGAGTGTACATGTTTGTCTCGTTCTTAAAAAATGTGTCCCATCATTGCTTTATGAGGTGGGGCCAGAAATTTAGAAAATGTATTGTTTTTTTGCGCTGAGACCACCAAACCAATTCTCAGTACAATATGTGTTCCATTAAATTGCTAATGCTAATGCTCGTCGAAACACGTCACCCGGCCTTTTTACCTTCTATTTTAACAATTGCCCGAGAGTCCCTGTGAACGACATTAATCGTTTTGCTTACATAGAGTGACCACCAAAGTCGGCTGGGAATGACACTAATCGTTTCCACTTACATAAAGTAGTTATCCAAAATCGACTATTTCAACATGGCCGCTGCGTCTATATAACAACTACTAAACCTTACACGTTCATGTTCTGTGAAACTGCAATGAACCAGCTCGTTTATATATACTTGTACGATTGAACGCCATTATAACAAACAGGATGGATATACAAGGCAATACGGACCATCTAATTATCTGAATGCGTAGCCAAGAATCAACCTGGATTCCTCATAACATATAATGTTGAACTGTCGCTATTCAAACAATGCCTACAAGCCGGGAAAATTAAGGATACCTATCTTGGAGTTTTTGGTAAGAACGTTGCCATGAACATTACGAAGATTACCATTTACTGATAATCGAATACAACTCGTTGGCCATTCGATTTGAATTGAGCAAGAAATTTATAGTTATAAGTGGTAATTCCCGACCAAACACTCTTGTCTGGGACGAATTTCAAATCACGAGAGGTTATCAATTAAAGGTAAAAGCATTAAAAACAGATTATTGACACTTAAGTTACAGTAGCGTTGTCATTATTAGTGTACAATTATACTATTGGAAACATTTTTTATATTAATATGTGGTTAACTATTTGGCAATTTATACTACTACATGAGAAATTTCTGCAATTTTATTGGCTTAGAGCAGTGGTATTTCAGCTTAATTTGAAATACCTACATGTGAAAATTACACACCTTTTGTGGGTAGTGGTATAAACAAATAATAGCATGATTCAGTACGTGATATTTGGCATAAACACCAATTGTGATATTTCAAAATTGTCTCAAATTTTACTCGCTTAACAGCTCGTAAAATTACGTACAACAATTTCAAAATATCACTCATGGTATTTATGCCAAATATCACTACAAATCATGCTATTACCTATACTAATAGCCATTTCAAAAGGGACCCTTTGATATGTCATTTCAATTTGTCTTGACAAATTAGGTATTTCATCGAGTAATTACCATTTCTGCCAAAACACGTTTTAAGAACGAGGCCAACATGCACTCTAATTTTTTTTTTTATTTGTGGCTGATAAAAAGATACAAGATTAGTGCACGCCATTTTCGCCAAAATCGTCACTTTCCAAAGGGCCCCTTTGGCATCTCATTTGCATTTTTGTTTATAATTTGGCGATTTCGGCGATTAATCGCCATTTCCGCCATTTTCGCCAAATACGCCATTTTTGCCAATATCGCCACTTTCCAAAGGGCCCCTTTGCCATCGTGTTTGAATTTTTGTTTACAGTTTGGCGATTAATCGCCATTTCTGGCATTTTCGCCGAAATTGCCACTTTCCAAAGGGCCCCTTTCCCATCTCATTTGAATTTTTGTTGACATTTTGGCGATTAAGCGCCATTTCTGCCATTTTCGCCAAATATGCCATTTTCGCCGAAATCGCCACTTTCCAAAGGGCCCCTTTGCCATCTCATTTGAATTTTTGTTTACAGTTTGGTGATTTTGGCGATTAATTACCATTTCCGCCATTTTCGCCAAATACGCCATTTTCGCCAAAATCGCCACTTTCCAAAGGGCCCCATTGCCATCTCATTTGAATTTTTGTTTACAGTTTGGTGATTTTGGCGATTAATTACCATTTCTGCCATTTTCGCCAAATACGCCATTTTCACCAAAATTGCCACTTTCCAAAGGGCCCCATTGCCGTCTCATTTGAATTTTTGTTTACAGTTTGGTGATTTTGGCGATTAATTACCATTTCTGCCATTTTCGCCAAATACGCCATTTTCGCCGAAATCGCCACTTTCCAAAGGGCTCCATTGCCATCTCATTTGAATTTTTGTTTACAGTTTGGTGATTTTGGCGATTAATTGCCATTTCTGCCATATACGCCATTTTCGCCGAAATCGCCACTTTCCAAAGGGCCCCTTTGCCATCTCATTTGAATTTTTGTTTATAGTTTGGCGATTTTGGCGATTAATTGCCATTTCTGCCATTTTCGCCAAATACGCCATTTTCGCCAAAATCGCCACTTTCCAAAGGGCCCCTTTGCCATCTCATTTGAATTTTTGTTTACAGTTTGACGATTTTGGCGATTAAGCGTCATTTCTGCCATTTTCGCCATAATCGCCACTTTCCAAAGGGCCCCTTTGCCATCTCATTTGAATTTTTGTTTATTATATAGTTTGGCGATTAATTGCCATTTCTGTCATTTTCGCCAAATACGCCATTTTCGCCAAAATCGCCACTTGGCAAAGGGCCCCTTTGCCATCTCATTTGAATTTTTGTTTACAGTTTGGCGATTTTGGCGATTAAGCGCCATTTCTGCCATTTTCGCCAAATACGCCATTTTCGCCATAATCGCCACTTTCCAAAGGGCCCCTTTGCCATCTCATTTGAATTTTTGTTTATTATAGTTTGGCGATTTTGGCGATTAATTGCCATTTCTGCCATTTTCGCCAAATACGCCATTTTCGCCAAAATCGCCACTTGGCAAAGGGCCCCTTTGCCATCTCATTTGAATTTTTGTTTACAGTTTGGCGATTTTGGCGATTAAGCGCCATTTCTGCCATTTTCACCATAATCGCCACTTTCCAAAGGGCCCCTTTGCCATCTCATTTGAATTTTTGTTTATTATATAGTTTGGCGATTTTGGCGATTAATTGCCATTTCTGCCATTTTCGCCAAATACGCCATTTTCGCCGAAATCGCCACTTGGCAAAGGGCCCCTTTGCCATCTCATTTGAATTTTTATTTATAGTTTGGCGATTTTGGCGATTAATTGCCATTTTTGCCATTTTCGCCAATGCGTGCATTTCTGGACATATCTCAAAGGAACCAAACTCTGGTGGCATGGCAGAGGAAGAGAAGCCTGTAGGGAGAGAGAGAAGGGAAGAAAGGAATAACTGCTGTCCAAGTTCATGACTCTTTCAATTCAAAAATGCAATGTTAGATAAAGCAGGTTTTTAAGTGCAATTCATTGTGACATCTGTTTCTCCTAAAGTAGGGTTTGCTTATTGCCAACAATAGCTCTATAAAGTTATGAATATATCTATAGGCACACAACAGTTCAATAACCATACCAGTAGGGTTTACACAGTATCGTTTATATCCTCCAGGGTTCAATGTTTAAACACTGAAAATCGAACCTTTTATCTAACAATAAAACTTAAGCTTAATGTACTATATACAATTTTAGCTGTCAAAAATTTAAGTGCGGTATCGAGACACCCATGTAGGAACTCAATATCTGTATTTCGTGAGAAACGTAAGAAAGCTGAAGAAGGATGTGCCGTTTTTCGTTGGAAACCGCCACTTTAGTAAAAAAAATATACATTTCGAATTGAATCAAAACCGACAGCACCTACCTTTTGTATTTCTTTTTTTTTCGGAGAGACACTTTTAATGTGTCGTTTTAAAACGTTAGCAAATGCTTGCAGATGCCCAGAAATGCCGTAACGAAGCATGTTTTGACAATATATGCACGTTTGCCTTGTTTTCTCGTTTACAGGGTTTCGACGACAGTCTGTAACCTGAACTCCTCGTGTAGAGATTCATTGGCACAAATTGAAGAAAGAAGTTCATCGATCGTCTGATACAAGTTGCTGCGCGTGAAAGTTCAGAAAGTCCGCTTCAGTTGAACAAAACTTGGTTTTGCGGATCCTTATTTAAGAAACCTAAACTTCCAAAGACGGATTTTCAGCTACCTGCTGAAGTTGCAGTAACCTGACAGAAAAGGCCGCCATATTTGATCTGCCAATATTGGCTAGGCGTACTCGGCGAGTATCTCTCTGTGACGTCACAGCTCATGGTAGAGTCCAGGAATGACCGAGCCGAAAACGCCTGGGGACTAGGCTGCATTACCTCCTTAAATTTTAAATGCCGGACGTCAACTGGTTATTTTTAAAAGCCGAACACATCTAAAACCTCAAATATCCTTTTTGTTTTTAACTCGTTAATGAAATCTTGTCACAAAACTAATTCGGCGATAGTCACGTGATTGATGACGTCATTACCTTAGATGTGACATGGGAAGATATTTTATGGCAAATTTTATCTTGTTGTTGTCTGTCAGTCTTCTACGTATAAAATTGTCAAAGTTATAAAGCTCTTTTAAAAAAATGCCTATAAGGTTTCTGGGAGATTTTTTAATGAAACAAGTTTTGACAACACAGGTGATCTGAACGAGTATTGAACAAACTAGCCTACAAACTAGAAACTCTTTCAGGATGCTTCCCTTTCTGAATGTATAATTGATTGTAGCACTTGGCAGACCAGTTTCTTAAATCCATCCAGCAGCAGGGCACAGAGGTTTGCCGCAAGAGTCTGTTAACTGTTTATTAGTCTAGAGATCGTTTTTATGTCCACGTTGCCTTTGTCAAGAATTCGAACGCTAAACTAACGACTTGAAAGAATTCAGTATTCTAAATAATGGTTTCTGAATGCAAGCTCCGCCTTTAGATATGCCTAAATTTATAAATTTGCTGAGTAGCAATATAGCGGTAGTTCGCAGTCGTCGCGTAACCATTATTGGTAAGAAAAAACTATGAAGACCTGGGAGGAGGACTTCAGAACTGTAGCAAACGACAGGTCAAATTCTTCTCCCCTTTTCCTCCCGGCTAAAATTTCACCAGAACAATGTAAACTTACGTGAGGGCTAAGTAAGTTTCGCTGGAGGCAAAAGATAAATTCCTTCTGTCGCATCACCAAGTGCTCATCCCTGATTGGATCGGAAATGTTAAGCACTGGAAACTGCACGAGGAGATGCAATTGAGCACTTCCTGTTTCAAAGTTCAATAAAGCGCTGAATTAGTTTTCAGTTATTACATTACACACCTCAAATTTATAGTATTTCATAGCCTTAAGCAAAAAGGACCCATTTTTCACCCCAAAAACGTCACTTTTTTATTGTCACGACGTAAAAGATACAACTCAAAACACCCTTTACCTTCCCTAGGACGTAAGAATGATTTCTATATCCTCTTACTTTAAACTCTGTAACATAAATTTGAGTGCAAGGGGGGAAGGAAAACCATTTAAAACTATGGATATTATTTAGACTAAATCACCATAATTCGTAATATTTGGTCCTAAATTGGACGCTGAAAATCATTTTAGCGTGGCAAAAAGCCCTAGGGCCTGTTTTTTGAAACTAGGCCTTTGGCAGAGATGGTTTAGTCAGTAGTCTGGTTAAGCCTGGGTTGCTAACCAGTGAACTCTGGTTGTTTTAACCTGGCTTGTAATCTGGTTAACTATAGTTTAACCGGGCTTTTGTTGCAAGGGTCTAAGAATCAAGTGATTAAGCTAGTGAGTCAATGATCCACAATACTCACTAGAAAATGGTCGAATTCTTTGCTCCAGAATCTGTTCTTCCTGAGATAAAAAAGTATATATAGACCAAAGAGATGATCAAGATTTTGCGCTTAGATCTCTCTATCTATCGACCTATACCATTGTGGCGGACAGTGATGCTTCATCGCGGTGTTTGGAAACGCAGATCGCCTCCCTTCTTCGTTGATGTTTTCGTTTCGTTTTACTAATACTGTGTTAGTGCCAATACTAGTACTTAGACGGATGCTATTACTAATAAAGGTATTAGGTTGAAAATACGCAATACGAAACAAATGAGTTTTCAGTAAACTTAAAAATAGGTTTAAGGTTTCGGCAGTTTTAATTTCAAAAGGAAGGGAATGCTACAGCTTAGGCGCGGCAACGCTGACGGCGCGGTCCCCATGCGAAACGATATTTGTACTTGGAACTGTTAGTAACATCTGATAAGAAGATCGTAAAGATCTGTCATCATTCTTCGGCTAGAAAAAGGACTTTTTTATTAAAATGCGGAGCATTTTTTAATCTTACCTGTATTATTGTATCTTAAAAGCCAAGAACAACAGTATAAAGCCACTATCCCACAAGCAACAAGGAGTGAGCGTCGACGCTAAAAAAGAAGACACTTATATATCTACCTAGAGTTTTGAAAACCGGGTCACCTGAAATCTGAAGCCAAGTCCAGGACATTGGAATGCGAGAGTAGCCCGTTTTTCAAAAAACCAGGTATATTAAATAATCTCCAGGGATTCAGCATCCAAATACCTGTTTTGCCGAAAAGAATGACAGTGTTAGTGGGAATTGACAGTTTTGAGGTCAATTATGAAAGAATAAAAAAGGGTATGCTTTAACTGCAATGCATGTAGAAGAGGTTATAAAGTACCGCATCCATTCAAACTTGTTATATTGTATTACTACTACAGGGTCACAATTTGATCGCTTAGTAGGGCGGCTGAAAAGGTTTCTTTACAGCCCTTTCCCTGAAGGTTCCCAGCAGTGCTACAATACTAGTTAAATACACTGAAATACTACTTCTACCTATTTCCCCAGAACTTGATATCGTGCATGGCCATTCCTCCCCCAAACGGGTTTTTCTCTAAACAACTACCTTAGC